TCAAAACTGTATCCTCCATATAAATGAGTAGGTTCGGGAAGATTATGTGGAACGCAGTCCCATAAAAACGCAACCCGGCCGACAACAGTAAAAACCCGCTCTAGGAGATGGAAAAGAAGAACCCTATCTTATCGATGAAACTTCAGCAATAAAGCTCCGGAGGTTGGTGTACGCGATTGGTAAAGCGAAAAGACTTCTGGTGATAGGGGCAGATGCTAAAGCCCATCACACAGTATGGATTAACGGAGGTACCAACGAAAGGGATTGGTCTTATCTAGCAGTAGAAAACCTTGTGGAACAACCAACATATATTGGCCCTAATTCAAAGAATGTTATTGATATTACATTGTTTACTAACAATATAAGGCTTATCTGGAAGGTAGTAATAAGAAATAAGGCAGTCACACTCACAACATTCTAAAAAAATCATATTACATTGCTTGTCCTTCTGTACTGGTGTGAAAAAGAGATGCGTAAAGCCAAAAGGAAGTCGTGGAAGAGCTTCTGCGACAAGCTAGAAAAGACCACCGAGGTAGCTAGGCTTAGGGATTTAATACTCAAGCTCCTAAGCTATTGAGCGAAATGTGCGGAGAGAGATTAGGTGTAGTGATGAATCACTTTCTGAAAAGGCTGACATACGGATGAGGGTGATATGGCATTAATGAGATACTTCTTATGCTACAGTCCAGTCTTATCTAGAACTCGTTTCAGACATCTTGGAGCTTCGAAGTTCAAGGACTAAATTGAGTATCAGAATTGGATATCAAATTGCTCTTAAAGCTCGCAAAAAGCGTTGACATACTTTATGACAAATGCTTCAGGTCAGCATAAATTTTACTTCTTCTGGCATTACTAAGGAATTAACTCTTCAGTCAAGAGAGAATTAAAATAAAAATTGGCAATCGGGTTGAAAGCGGTTACCTTCAGGTTTTACTCAAAAAGGGACCCAATGTCGATCCTTTAAATGTCTCAGAAATAGTTGTATTGTCTTAATGAATCCAAATAAAAGCTTTCTGGTTCCGATAGTATGTCCCAATAATTTGTGAAAGCTTTCTAAAATATGCGGAGTTAATAACTTTCCCTATTAGCATGAATTAAGATACAACGCATCTTCTAATTTCGGAAGTTTGTTGTGTCTTCCGCTTTAATCTTATTACCGCCATGGATGCAACAAGTGCCAACGCCTTTGTTTAGACTGCAGATAAGACACAACACACGTTCTACAGCACACCATCTGCTCGCATATATATGTATAATAGCATATGTGTGAGTGTGTGTGTAGTATTGTTGTGGTGTTTAAACATTTGTTGTGGCACATAAATCAATCTCGCATGTCAGTTGTCAGCATTTGGTCGGTAATTTATTGCGCATCATCTTTCATTAACTACTTGTCATGTGGCACATATGGATGTGTGTGTGTATGGATGTGTGACTGTATGCAAAACTACGTTTATGGTCGTCTGCGCAGATCTATGAAGGAATATTCAAGAGTAATTTGAGTGCACGAAAGTGATAAGGAATGCTAAAGTGGATTTGCCGACCTCAAGGTTTGAAGGTTACGGCGCTGGCAAATGAAGGAAGTAATTGTGTTGGAGAAAGTGAAGTGAACTTTTGATTTATTTGGTGAAATAAATAAAGACACTTTATGGAATGCGCTTTTAAAGCTAATCAAATTACAAGGAGCGTTTCAAGGTAAACAGGACTTTTGGAATATAGCGCCACCTGGTGGCGCCATTTATGTGTCGACGGTGCGTTAGAATCTGCTATCTTTATCGATTGTCCAGTGATTTCATTACATTTCATTGATTGGAAGTGTCAGTATGTTTGTGTTATCGGTACGAAAATGAGCTTCGAACAAAGAGCCAACATACATTAAATTTTGTTTTAGGACTCTTAAAACTTTTACCGAGACTTTTCAGTTGGCGAGTGCCCGAGTGGTTTTAACGTTTTCAAAGTGGTCGTGAGGACATAAATGACGATCTCAAATCAAATTCCATCGAAACTGTGTGTGAATTCATCAAAAATCAGCCGAAATCATCATTGAAATTCATGCAAATGGAATTGAATATCACCAAAACATCGATTTATCGCAGAGTTGATTTGGTTTGTTTTGAAATGAAAAAAAAGTTGAATATAACATTTCATTTTTTTTTTCAATGTAACGCAGCTTGATAAACAACATTTTTTGGTTCCGGTGTACAAAAAGATGGTTTTCCAATTCGTGAGCATGCCTCGTATATCTGGCAGTATGAAAAACATAGCATTTCCAAATGTATGCCACACTCTTCTAGCGACTAGCCTTGTGTCCTGTTGATTGCCATCTCAAATCCATTTTTCACTGAAAACGGAATACGTTTGAACTGAAATGGCAAATCGTTAGAACTCAAAGGAATTCGTAGAATCAAGCAATCTGCCCCCTTGTATTCGATATGGTGTGTCAGATTGCGAAACATAATAACGACAGATCCAACTTTTAGGATCCCGTAACTTTGAAGCTGCCAGTTCCAGACCCATTTCCAATTTTTAGCGAGGACGATGTAAAATCTCTTCGGCAATGTCATTTTTGTTCGTATCCCATAATTGACGCGGATTTGAAGGCTGATATGTCGAAATGATCACCTACCTACCTATCCATACCACCTAGTACCTATCGAAATCGTTCGATTCCAGTGGTTGTCATGTTACAGCAATTGTTATTGCTGGCTTACTTCTCCAATACTTGCACACACCGTACCATTAACAGTACGCAATGATACAAATGAAGTTGAACCGCGAACATTAATCAACTACCTTCGATTGCTGGTAGAAACAATCGTCGTTTTTCGGGTGGATTATGTAAATACGTCCTAATGCATTAGTTGGTAACACACCTCGATGTCCATCTACTGGTTGGCCTTGCTTTCTGTCTATCGAATATAGCCATGTTCTTGCAAACGGATCACGGACGAAATTCGACAAAAAACAAATTTTAATTTTGTTGCTGGCGGTGTTTCCGCTGGCTCTACTGTAATCTCTGGATTGAAATACTCTTTGTCCATTCTCCAAATTAACTGCGTTCATGAATGGCTAAAGTAAATATCCTACAAAGCGCTTTATTGCAGTTCACGTATCGACCATTTGCTACTTGCTGATCTCATCTCGTTCAAGACCAATAACCATATGTTGCTTCCTTTAGTGACGTAATTACAAACGTATTATAGTACGATCCATGTATGGTCAACTTCGATATTCATTCTTCCAAATTGAATGGTAAATGTTCTGCCATTGTCGTCTGGTGAGCGACGCCGATAGAGTGGATATCCATCATTTCTAATTTGTGTTACCGAAAGAAAAGCACGTGGATAGTGTTTCGTGCATTTATTATCAGCCATAAAAACCGAAAAGGGATGGTAATGCTCGAAATGTCCATGAATCATATTGGTTTTCACCCCTTCGAATACTGGATCTTTCTCTGTATCAGGAATTTCAGCAAAGATGAGCTAATCAATTTGATCTGGTATAACAACCATCCACCGTCCAAAGAAGAATGTATATGCGCGGCAAACCTCTCTTTTGCATCTAACAGCACCACATATAAGTTGCTTCAAGATAAAGTCCTTCAGACATCGTAACTGTTGTTTGAAAAGTCGTAACACATATGGTTTGTATTTTCACTTTTTAATTGAAACCTACGTTAAATTTAAACTCTAATAGCAAAAATTGTGTTAAAATTCGTTTTTGTTTTGAAATTTTTAATAAACACATGTGGAATCAACAATTAGAGCGCGACAACTAATTATAAACGAAAATATTTTATCAACAAAAAATAATGATACTACAAAAACTTGCTTGCTTAATATTGCTTCACATCGATTCCGAATTTACGTTATAAGACACTGACAGCACACCACACCAATTGTGTAGCTTGCCATGCCGTTCTAATTTCATCACAAAGAACATCCATATTTGGGATATTTTTGGTGCATATGGCTCTTTGTTGTGGAGTTAAGCGCTTAGCAACACATTTTGCGATTCATTTTTATATACATATGTATAAGATAAGAGTAGGATTTGTCAACTGTACCATAAGGCAGTTAAGGTGTTATTGCAGTTAGAATTTTCAAAAACTGTTTTTTTATTTTATTTGGTAATCTGCAGATATTTAAGCGTACACACATATCATATCGCAAACTTCAGCCGAAAGCCTTTGATGCTAGCGCTGCGTACTTTAGTTTATTTAATAATTTGTTTATTATGTAAGCTTTAATAAAATAAAATAAAAAAAAAAAAATATCGCAAACTTTTTCTTTAAATCGATTCTTTTTTTAGAAACCACCATTTTGTTAGAAAAAATATATTTTGCGGCACGTACAAATCACCACTAAAGTCATTTTTCTAAGCAGCAACGCCTCTCAAAAAATCTTAGAAAAACCAAAAGTCAAAAAATCAAAAACCAATTGCCAACGAAGCGCTCTATTCGCCATCTACACATCCGTACTTCTTTTGTGACTTACCAAATGTACCCCACTAATTTTACCCTTCGCCAACACAAACGGTGTCAAATGATCTGAACTCTGTCTTTTTATCAAAGAAGGTATTTAATGAAATTGAACCATTGCAAAAGTCTTACTTACGTTGTTTAATGGTGTCGTTATACATATCATCACTAGATTTCTTTATGATAACGATTATTATCTACGAAGTAGATAATGCCCAATTTCTATTTATTTAAAATGGCTGTGGAGAATAGAAAAAGCTATGCCATGTCGAACCCGTAAATTGTATCTTAATTTTTGGAACTTCTAAAACAATCAAAACCTTTGTTACAGTTGCTATTTCATATCCCTAAGTTGAGTTACTGCTACTCAAACAAAGTTTGCGTGTTATGTCTTCTAAAGACATCTGCGCAGGGTACCAATCTCACGAAGAGCCACCGAATTCCTATAAATTTGAGAAGAAATCGTATATAAAGCACAGCTGAATGTCTAAAGAGCGTTATTTTGCAAAGTAAATTCGTGAAGATGTGCAGACAACAGTGGTTCTCATTGCCTTTAGCTTTGCTGCTAATTTACTGTGGTCTCGGGACTAGTACAGCAAGCATTGCGGTAAATGATGACCTGCGTATGAAATATTTACCGTCGAACTGCAATGAAGCAGTTCATTTGGCGGGGAGCAAAGCTAAAAGTGGTATATATAAAATTCGATTGCCACTGCCACAAGGTGCTTTTAAAGAGTTCTATGTTAACTGTATACTGGATCCATTGGGTGGAGAGGCCTGGACGCTAATACAACGACGACAAGACAAATCTATAGACTTTTATCGCGGCTGGGAAGAGTACAAGAACGGCTTTGGCAACTTAAATACGAATTTCTTTATTGGTCTCGATAAATTACATGCCCTAACGGAATCACAGTTGCACGAGTTATGGGTCGAGTTGAAGGACTTCGACGATGTGGAGAAGYATGCCATGTACGACAGTTTTGCYATTACMGAYGARAGCCAARAATATGCAYTGAATATTKTRGGCACATATTCGGGCACAGCAGGTGACGCCTTAACTGAGGTACACGGTGGCGCCAAGTTCAGCACAATCGATCGGAATAATAGCGAGCGTGGTTTCAATTGCGCAGCTTACTATAAAGGCGGTTGGTGGTATGGAAAGCATAATTGCCACAGTAGGTAAGTTTACATACTAATACAAGCACATTTTAAAATAAAAATTTTGTTGATGTTGCTTTCAATTTACAGTAACTTAAATGGACTCTACCATAATGGCCACTTTGGTACTTATGCTGAAGGCATAGTTTGGTGGAATTGGCGTGGAGACTACTATTCTATGAAATATGTGCATATGGCAATTAGACCAAAAGATCTGCGTATCGACAATAAAATAGTGAACTAATATCGGAATAATAAGTAATAATGGCGTGGTGACAAAACCCTTGTGGGAAGGGAGTAGATTCAAGCGCAGTTCTTACCAAACTACATATATATTTAGAGAAGTATACATTATAGTAGAATATAAACGAATAATAATATAACGACACAGCAGAATTTCAAATAAAGTAAATTGGTTAGGATTATTATATTTATATTTTGTAGGGACCATTATGCTTACTCATCAACCAACAAATGTCTCTCACATGAAAACTGGTGTATTCTGAACTTGTTTTCAAATATGTCAAGTAGTTTCAGAGCCTATTCAATTCAAACAAGTAAACCACAAGTATCTTCTCTTTATAAAATTAGTATATAAAATTTTATATTCTGGACAGGGTATACTATTCTGTTTGCCGTGAAGTTTAACACCTAGAATAAAGATAATATACTATACATAAATATATATAGTGGGACTTTGTTCATATTCCGCGAAGCGGTTGTTTGAGTTTGCTGAACAACCAGAAGTCACATGGAGCTATATCAGGCAAATACGATAGCTGCATTACGATATAAATTGACGAAAAACTCTCGAAGAATCCAATGCTAGCTGTCGGCCCATAACTCCCGGCCTCTGTTTACGATGAAACTACTCGTGCTTTCTGCTACGGGATAGGCAATTGTCGCCATAAACTTAATTCAAAAATTGAGACGTTTCGGTAAAAGTTTTACCAATTTTAAAACAAAATTTAATGCTCGAAGCTCATTTTCTCACCATTAACACAAACACACTAACACTTAACACGCAATAACTTCACTTCCAATCAATGAAATGTCAGGAAATTCTCACTGAGCAATCGATAAAAATAGCAGATTCTAACACACCAGTCGACATATAGATGCGGTAACCAGGTGGTGATCGATTCAAAAATTCCTGAATACTTTGGAACCAGCCTTGTACTTTGGAATGTACCTTGTAGTTTGTTGCAAATATTTACTCTATCCAAGAAATATAGAGTAAATAGAGTATATTTGGGGAATTATAAAGACTTTGTGTTGACGATTTTAGCGTTTATGTAAAAGAAATCGACATCTTAAGCTATGGCTTTAACTGTGGTAAGGATCATATAGATTGTTGCTGGTGGTCAATTGAGAACTCGCGTGCAGACCACAGACCTCACACAAAAATTATTAAGCACATTTTTTTGAAATGTCGGGCTACAGAAAAAAAAAAAATCAGTCAATTCATTATTCCTTCATTAAAAGTTATATCTTGCAGGGTTTCTAAGTGTCGTCTTTATGTATTTTCAAAATTGTGTATAACTAAATAGTGATCTATTCCGACGTTAAATTCTTTTTTATAGAAAATGGGTAATGTTTATTATCATGCGCAAGAACATTGGCATTGTTCCAAGGCGTGAATTAAAGCGAGAGTACCCGCATAGTCTTTAGGCTTTACATATACGTACATATCTCGGTGGCTAATCGACTGGCCCAAAACGTGAAATTGTCTGCTCATGGAAGTGTTCTCTCATTAAATATATTGAAAGATGCGATGTGTGGGAAATGGCCGCCGTATTGTTGAAATGTCGCCGATATCACGTGCTTCAATTTCCGATATCAATCATTTATATTATATTGACGATTACGAACTGGCATCATTTTTGAAGAAATATAGACCGATGATTCCAACGGCTCACAAACCACACCAATCCTTTGTTATACTCTCGCAACAAAGTTGCTAAAGAGAGTATTATAGTTTTGTTCACATAACATTTGTTTGTAAGTCCTAAAACTAAAAGAGTCAGATATAGGGTTATATATACCAAAATGATCAGGGTTACGAGTAGAGTTGAAATCCGGATGTCTGTCTGTCTGTCCGTCCGTCTGTCCGTCCGTTCGTGCAAGCTGTAACTTGAGTAAAAATTCAGATATCATGATGAAACTTGGTACTCGTATTTCTTGGCTCCATAAGAATCGGCCCACTGCCACGCCCACAAAATGGCGAAAACCGAAAACTTATAAAGTGTCATAACTAAGCCATAAACAAAGATATTAAAGTGAAATCGAAATGAAGCAAAGGATCGCATTAGGGAGGGGTATATTTGGGCGTAATTTTTTTGGAAATGTGGGCGTCGCCCCGTCCCCCTACTAACTTTTTTGTACATATCTCGAAAACTACTATAGCTATGTCAACCAAACTATATAGAGTCGTTTCTTTTAGGTATTTCCATATACAGTTCAAAAATGGAAGAAATCGGATAATAACCACGCCCACCTCCCATACAAAGGTTATGTCGAAAATCACTAAAAGTGCGTTAACCGACTAACAAAAAACGTCAGAAACACTAAATTTTGCGGAAGAAATATCAGAGGGAAGCTGCATCCAGGCTTGTTCTAAAAATTGAAAATGAGCGTGGCGTCGCCCACTTATAGACCAAAAACCATATCTCAGGAAGTACTCAACCGATTTCAATGAAATTCCGTATATAATATTTCCTTAATACCCTGATGATATGTACCAAATATGGGTGAAATCGGTTCACAACCACGCCTGAAATCTCGTTTACCACGTTATCATGCGAGAGTATAAAATGTTCGGTGACACCCGAACTTAGCCCTTCCTTACTTGTTTTTTTCTTACTAAAATGGCAGCTCTTGAATCTTTTCAGGTTGACTTGAAAACGTCGGACCTTCTTGGAACTTTTCAAGAGCTCAATTTAAGATCTCGACGTAAAACGCGTCAAGTCGTTCCATACCTCAGTCTAAGTTGCTGCAAATGGCGTTGAATGGATTCTCCAAGGTCCTCGTGAACACGCTCAGCTACGGCTGCTTTATTTTCTTGACTGATGGCTTGACCTTGGAGATTCTGGACATTAACCTATAATGAATTCTAGGTATCAGGACGGGTGAGGACGTTGTGAACAGTATGCTCAGCAGACCGACTATGCTAACCAGATGAAATTTCAAGCAATACCGAGCAAAAATAACATGTGAGGTTTATGACTCAGGGGAGATTTATAAAAAGCAAGCTATGGAAAAAAGTACCTCTACTTGAATATCCTGTTATACAGGTGTAATTCCATTCTGTAATAGAAACAATACAAATTTTCTCTTGGGTTCATTGTGTTTTGTACTTTGACAAACAATTTTGACCCAAAGGAAATATGTGATAACTGTAACATACTTGTAGCATTCAGCTTTCCCTTAGCTACATTAAATCAATTAATAATGTACACTTACATTAAATTGAATTCAAATATCTAACATCCACTAAAAATTTGCTTCATTTGCAAAGACGCGTGATGCATACTTGCCATAACGCACACACACTTACATAATTATGAAGGCAAAAAAAAAAAAGTAGCTTAATCCATTACAATTACATAAGCAAGTACTTAATTAATAAAGTTCAATTCAAAGCTCGTACAAACTACTTGATGCTTCAATTAAATTATTTTGAAAGTTGAAAAGGTAAAATGTCACTCTGAAGCGAAGTACTTAGGCGCTCATCTGTGTATGAAGATATTATATATTAATCCATTTTTGTTTCATAGATAAGTATTTCTGATGAACTTGCAGTTTCTAGTATGGGAGTTTGTAGATCTAAAGAGGCGTGCTCCCCAGTTCCCGCTCCATAATCTGGCTAGATACTGATTCATATATATAATTGGGATTTGTGCGGATAACATTTTAATTGAGTTTCCATTCTGCAAAGTCTTCGATTTTAATTAATTCCAACTGAAGTCAGACAAGCCAGCAGGCAGCGTATTATGTAATCAGCAGTTGCGAAATTATGTGACAAATAATTATTCGCAAATTGTAGATTATCAAGTTTTAAGTATTTATGTACATATGTTTGTATGTTTTGGCATCTGCTCCTTCATATGTTTTGTTGCAGCTCCGCTTCGGCTTTTGCTTTGCTCAGCGAGGTAGAAACCGACAGATGTCGGACCCAGTTGAGCTGCTGTTCAATGTGACATTTTGATGGCTAAATTAATTGTTTGATATTAATAATGTAGACCTCATTTAGCAAATGTGTTTTATTCTCAAAGCTTATTAAAATGAGCACGTGCAGCTATCCGTATTAATTGAGTTTTCGATGGCAGATTAGCAACTAACAGCATTTTGCTTCGTATTCACGGTATTCAGCACCGTGTACTGATAGTCGATTTATTGTTATAAGATATAATATAATATTTCCGTTTTAGAAATGCTTGGGTTGTGCCCTGTTAGACACAAAACAAGAAGGCTGTTATTGTAGTAGTTACCTAGACCCTGTTTGGGTACAAGCAAATGAACTGCTCTGTCATCGGTGTTACAAAACAAGATGACTAAAACAGATGCTATACATGTTGATCCCACTGGACATGCTATAGAATATCCAGATAATTAGTTGCGTATGGTATATTCTGTTCCATCTCTTATTTGTCAATGGTTTCTGCTTTGACTCTATTCTCTCTTCATTTGCTTGGATAGAGTCTAAACCGATGTCGGTCGGCTTGTGAATGGCATCAACTGCTCGTTGGTACGCTTCCTCGTCCGAAGTGTGGTCTGCTGGGTTTTGAATATCAAAGGAATATAACTTTTTTCGGTCCGCTGAGAGTTTTAAGAGAAGGCGCGTTGGACCCCTTATGCAACGCGAGTCATAAGGTTACTGTCTCAAGTGCGAGTTTCTGGTTTCCTGCAACCAAACAGGAGAAATAGTTATTTTATTGTTTTGATTTTTTCTGTAACTATTTAAGATGTATCCAATATTCACAAATTGTGGCTTGGTTTGCCTTAATTTCACTGAATATCTCAAGTAACCAGTTTATTAACCGATATATGTTGCAAGAAGTCAACTGAAAAGCCGAAAATCATTATATTTTAGGCCAGCAGTCTATACTGATTTCATTTATTTTGGGCGCACACTTAACCGCAATAGTAACTATAAGACGATTGAGGATGTTCATGGACCAATGTAAAGTGGAAAAATCTGATGATGTGTGGCTGATGTTTGTTGTTCAAATGGAATCGATCAGTTTTCCTGTATTACGAAATGTTTATCGTGAGCTCTAAAATCTAAAGGCTAAATTTTCTTCTCGTGACTGTCAGGTTTTAGATTTGGCGTGCACAGCCAGGAATTACTTAGAAGAGAATAATTTTATTTAGACTAAATAAGTTTTTATAGGTTACGGGGGCTGCCATACAGATACTTGTAATTTAACCTTTTTCTTCACAGACTTTGTCAGCTATATCCGAGCAGAGCCTTATGCTGAACTTTTAAAAGTAACACGCTCTTTTTAAATCGTTAACTGTAACTTGTTGCACTCTCCTTTCCTTGTCAACCAGAAGAATAAACTTGCACACATTCGCTAATAATATCGGTTGGTAGTTTGCAAACGTGTTTGTCAACTATTAAATAGTTTCTCCTTTTTCACG